GTAGGCTGTTTTGGGGCCGTAGGCTGTCTTGGGGTCATTGGCTGTCTTGGGGTCCTAGGCTGTCTTGGGGCCGTAGGCTGTCTTGGGGCCGTAGGCTGTCTTGGGGCCGTAGGCTTTCTTGGGGCCGTAGGCGTCTTGGGGCCATAGGCGTCTCGGGGCCCTAGGCTGTCTTGGGGCCGTAGGCGTCTTGGGGTCGTAGGCGGTCTTGGGGCCGTAGGCTGTCTTGGGGCCGTATGCTGTATTGGGGCCATAGGCTGTGTTGGGGCCATAGGCGTGTTGACCAGCTAATCCAACCAGCCCCTCCCATCATGCATCCCCTCTCCTCGTCCACGCCAAGTCCTAGAGGTTACAGTCAATCAAACATGCGTTCGATGCCCCCACAACAGTCCTAGGAACTACAACACCTGACGTTACTGAGATTGATCATTATGATAACGGTGGAAGCGTTGATGGTGTTGGCGATGGTGCTGCGTATGACGATGGAGATGACGACCATGGTGAGACGGGTGTTGATATTGACTGTGGTGGTAATGACTGTTACGAGTATGGTGCTGATGATGATGCTGCATATGACGATGTTTGTGATACTGTCGGTGATGGTGTCGAGGCTGATGATGCTGGTGATTATGACGACGAGGCTGGTGATAACGTTGCAGGTGATGATGTTGTTGATGATGCAATGCATGATGATTGTTATTGTGCTGGTGATACTGGTGCTGCTGCTGAGGATGATGATGATGCCAGGTCCCGTTTGGGGCCACGATGGCAATCAAGCGGCGATAATACTCGCGATGAGGGCCATGCTGATGACGACGGCGACAACGACGACGACGCTGATCATGATGACGATGCTGATGATGATGACGACGACGATGATGATGACGATGATGATGATGATGATGCTGATGCTGATGGCATTGGTATGGCGATGGTCACGATGACGAGGGCCCATGACGACAGCGGTGATGATGATTAGGACGAGCCCCCCCCTCCGCCCAGGGGAGGGGCCCTGAAGGGCCCAAATAGGCCAAGAGGGGCCGATGTGTATGATGAAACTTGTGACGATGATAATGCGCGAACACCCTTGCCTGCCGCCTGACAAGTGCTGGAAGACGGCGATGCCCCCAAACAAGAAAGGCCCCAAGAGCCAGAAGGCTGGCGCAAAAGAACGGGTTCGACAATGGTGCGAAGGTAAACGCGCTTCGCACTCCGCGGCTTGGGCCTCGGAGCGGCTGTTCTCCAGCCCCCCCCCCCCAGGATCAATGCGATACTCGCGCATCGCCCGCGTGCGTCGCGAAGATGATCGCGCGTCGCATGGAGCGCGGCATCGCGAAGATAATCGCGGGATCGCCGTCCTTAGACGTTTCGGCTCAACACAATGGGGGACGAATCGCCCAAGTCACCAACTCCCGCGCACGGGCAACCCGACTCGCAGGCTGATTCCGTTTGCCCGTCTGTTGCTGAATCGGCACCTGAGTCAGTCGCCAGCGGCGGGGGGCGCCGCGGTGGGCCACGGGACCTGAGCACAGCCGATCGCCCAGTGGTTGGCGGCGTTGTCATCGTGCCACTCGACACCATTGATGGCAAGGACTTCTTCCCAGTAAGTTTGACAGCCAAGTGGCTGTTAAGCGCGTTCTGCCTCGAGAACTTCTTCGCGCTGGGCTCGGACAACATCGTGACTGACATTGTCGCTGCCATCAAAGCCACGCGCGGGAAGCGTCAGCGACTGACGTGCCTGACGAACCCCGACGCCACCTTGCAGGGAGAGACAGTGCAGCTCCGAGTCCGAGATTATGAGCTGGAGGCTGGGAGCTCCATCAAGAAAGTCTACCTTCGTTACACAAAGGAGACTTTGGACTGGTTCCTCAAGGAGCTGAATTCCGACGTGGAAGCCGCCACTTCATCACGGCCTTCGGTGGCAATTGCCGTGGGTGAAACGGAGCCAGCCAGTGCCGAAGCGGAGTTCACGAGGTTGACAAAACGTGCCAACAACGAGAAGTGGCGCTGGGCTTCCAGTCTGAACGCTTTCTACGTGGTCGACCCCCAGACGAAGAAACAGGTGCTGTTCACAGTGAGGGCGGTCGCTAAGAAGTTGGGGCACGAGGCAGTCATCGAGGAGGTAAAGTGGCAGCGCATGCGGGCCGAGCACTTCGTCGAGACGGGCGAGGTCATGGGCCAGGATAAGCTGACGGCGCCAGCTGATGCCGAGGATGGCCGTAGCACAGGGTCTTCTCACAATGAACGCGCGTTCCAACGCGGCTGTTCTCTGGGCAGGAGGGGGGAGGAGGAGGAGGCGGTCCAGCCCCCAAAGAGGATGCGGCTCAGCCCAAACAGATGATGGCGATGACGACGACGACGATGACGATGATGATGATGGTGATGATGATGACGACGACGATGACGACGACGACGATGACAACGACGACGACGAGAACGATGACGATGACGATGACGACGACGACGATGACGATGACGAAGACGATGGCAATGACGACGAGGACGAGGACGAGGACGACGACGACGACGACTTCGACGACGATGATGATGATGACGATGACGATGACGATGATGATGATGATGATGCTGATGCTGATGATGATGACGACGACGATGATGATGACGAGGATGATGATGATGCTGATGATGATGACGATGATGATGATGATGATGATGATAATGATGATGATGGCAACGCCACCCTATAAGGTCAGACAGATGTCCCTGGCCTAATGGTCAGCACGGAAAGGGGGTGAACGGTGGAGCCTGCTCGGTAAGTGAATTCCCCTTGCCATCGAGGAGCCCGATGTTCTCATAACCACTTGGCAAATTCCGCGTTAGTTCTGTATGCTCGTTCGTTCCTGGGGTACAGAGAGCCACAAGGGCGGTCTTCAATATAGCTATTTGTGCACCTCTTCTGGGCCCATAGAAAATCCCTTTGGGGCTCTTGTGGGTTCTAGGGATGACCCCAAAAGGCATTTTTGGTCCTTGGGTCACCTTGGCAGCCCCAAAAACGCTACATTGAGGCAAGGAGCGGTATTTCATATAGCTGCTTGTGTGTACCCCCTGGGCCCATTACAAGTTCCTTTCTGGGATTATGTTGGGACCCAGGGACGACCCTACATGGCTTTGGGCTCTTTGGGATTCCAGGGATGATTCCCAAAAGCCTCCTTTCGGTCACCTTGGGAGCCCATAAACAGCTGTATTAAGGGGGCCGTGGGTTTATACAGCTGTTTGTGTACCCCCTCTGGGCATATAAAAAAGTCATTTGATGGTCACGAAAACGGTAGCCATCATTGTCACCATGATGGTGATGATTGAGACGGCGAGGGCCCTCGGCCAAGAAGCAGCCGCTTTGGAACACACCCTGGAAGAGGAAGGCCCCCTCTGAAGCGGCCAGCCCGCGCCTCCCCTCTCCTGATTGAAGCTGCTCCCCCATTGGCTTTTGAATGCGCCAGCAGCGTAGCGGGGATGCTGACATAGCATTCTGTGATTCAATATGGGCTCGTGGGGCGAGCCGTACACGACATTCGCTGCTCTCCCTCCTCGCGGTTCCACTTGCTCATCGCTGCGCGATTTTCTCACACTTACTTCCATAGAATGTCCTTTTCTTCCCGATCCGTTTCGCCCCTCCCCCCAGTAAGTTGCTCAAATCCCCCACGCAATGGGCGATTCATGCCACTCTTGGGGGGGCAACGCAACATTGGAAACCTATAGTTGCCACGTGAAATAACTTGTGGCGCTGACGTCTTATGCCTTACTGTGTGCTCCGGCCTCCCTGCATCTTTCAATGTTGTCGTGACGTCCTATGACTCTCTATGTATTCCTAGGTCTGCGTGTAATCCCATGTCCCTCTATGTCGTTATTTGTATTGATTGGGGTTTCAATTTCTATTTTTGTGTCTATGTCTATGTCTATGTCTTTTCAAATGTCTACGTATATCTCTCTATCCTATGTCTATTCCAATGTGCATGTCTATGTATATTACAATGTCTATGTCTATGTAGATTCCAATGTCTATGTCTACGTCTATGTCCAATGTGTGCAATCCCATATCTCACGACGTCTATGTATATTGCAATGTCTTCGAATGAGTTCCTTGTACTCCTATTTTTTCCCATGCATATGTCGTCATATGCCGTCATATGTCTTGATATGCCTTCCCATGCTGTCCTGTGTGTTCCAATGTGTTCTCTTGTCGCCCTACATCGACAGATTTGCCCGGCTGTCTCTCATGTCTCGCATTCCTTGCACGGCCCCAAGCTAACTTCCACGGGTCATATTTGGAGTCAGCGCTGGTAACAAGCTATGCTCCACGCGCCAAGAGCTCGCAATTTATGGTCGGCATCCTCTCCCGTATAAGCCATTTTGGCCCAATGTGTTCGCTATGCTTACGTTCGACGAGCTCTTTGCTGGCGGCAAAGAAGTTGCCTTGACCCCCTTGCAATCGTGGTTCAACCGCAATGTTCCAAAAGGTGCGGGCTTCCCCAGGAGCGCTAGCCATGGGACTAGTTTGCGCAGCGTGTTTGAGACCCGTTTCAATGAACTCTCAAAAGCCAGCGCAAGCAGCACGGCTGCGGCCAAGCAGTGGGCGACGCACACGTATTCAAGGGGCCATGTTACGATGGTGCTGTGGATGAGGGCGGCCGATGAGGCAGGTGCATGCGTCGACGCTGCAAGGAGGAACGTTCCCCACGAGGTGGGGCCATGGCTTGGTGATTACATGGGTCTTTTATCAAAGGTCTTGAGCGACCAATTCAACGGGGATCCTTCGGAGCCCATGTCAACTGACGATTGTCTGGAATGTATTTCGGGGGAGTGCAGCATTGCTCTGGACGCGCATGTCGGATCGGATGGTCTAGTCAGGGACTTCTTCAGCATGGTTTGCCCGCATGTTTTGGGGCCGAGCATGCTCAGTGTGAAAACGTTCTTGCTTTCTGGTTGCATGTCTGCGCTCTTTGGCGACGTATTGGCGTTGAGGCTTCGCCGACGCGTCCTCGCAGATATGTGCGAGCTTGAGGCACCAGCGCCTGTCGAGTTTGATTACTCGGCGTTGGCAGGCGAGCTCGTGCGCAAACAGCAGGCGCTCACTCGCCTTCAAGACGCTGCTAGCTGCCGAGACCTCCAATCCACGAGAAGTCGCAAGCGCACTCGCGAGGGACTGGACACGACCATCGACCTGATGTCTGCGCAGTTACAATGGGCACTGGAGTGCAAGATCGCATTTAGAAACATGCCGAAAAGCTTAGTCGAGGCTGCAAACTACTATGCGAAGATCCAGCTGTGTCCAGATCAGCATGGCGACGTGTTTGGCGCAGTTCAACGCCGTGCTTTAGATAAGCACGCTGTGGTGTTCGACTCTGCGATGGACCTCATGTTGGCAGATAGGATTGCGCAACTGAGGGCTTCAGGACAGTTCTATGGCGCTGGTTTCACTACCGACGAATCGCCCCCAGAAGCTCCGCGATTTCGAGGACTGCGCTTCCAGATAACCCACATTTATTTCTGCACGTTCCCGCCCGCTGAGGAATGGGCACAGGCAAAGTACGATGCAAAGCACCCGATTCAAGTCACCAAACGTCTTCTCGACATCATGCACTGCCCGAAAAAGGACGGGCAGTCTGTGCTCAATGTCCTTGAGAAGCAATGGGAGACTGTTGGGATGAATCGTTATGATTTCTTTTCTGGTTCTGGCGACGGCGGTGGAGAGAACGAGGGCGCGGGTGGAATCCACGCTACAATGGAGGATGTCAGTCACTCTTACGTGCGCCGCCGATGCCTGGGCCACTGGGGCTGGAGAAACGCTGGTGCTGCAATGAGCGAGGACGAAAAGCTGGTATCTGAAGTTCAGGACGCCAACGGGCTGCAAATGAGTCAACCACGTCATCTGTCGTCGGTCGCCCATCGGTCGTCGTCGTCGTCGTCGTCGTCGTCGTCGTCGCTCGTCGCTCGTCGCTCGTCGCTCGTCGCGCGCGTGCGCGCACGGTGAGTTCTGTATTGCCCACAATTGAAAAGTCGGCGTGTCCGCCGGCCTCCTTAAAGGTTCCCAGAAATTTTGAATTCAGTTTCTTGAATTACATGTCGGCTTTTCTACTGTGGACAATACAGAACTCCTCGCGCGCGCACGCGGGGAGTTCTGTATTGTTCACAATAGAAAAGACGGCGCGTCCGTCGGCCTCCTTAGAGGATGGCAAAGAATATGATCTCAGTTTTTGGAATTACATGTCTGCTTTTCTGTTGTGGACCATACAGAACTCCCAGCGCGCGCGTGCGCGCGCGTGCGCGCGCGTGGGAATCTGTTGTGCCAACAATGTAAAAATCGGCGCACCCGTCGGCCTCCTTAAAATTTACTAAACAAATGTTGAACCCCGTTTTTTTGGAGTTACATGTCGGCTCTTCTATTGTTGACAATACAAAACTCCCCGCGCGCGCGGGGAGTTCTGTATTCACAACAATCCAAAAGTCTGCGCGCCCGTCGGCCTCCTTAAAGGTTAGCAGGGTCTTTTGTTTCAGTTTTTGAAATTACATGTCGACTTGTCTATTGTTGACAGCGCAGAACTCCCAGCGCGCGCGTGCGGGGAGTTCTGTACTGCCCACAATAGAAAAGTAGGCGCGCCCGTCGGCCTCCTTAAAGGTTCCCAGAAATTTTGAATTCAATTTTTGAAATGACACGTAGACTTTCTTGCTGTGGACAATACAGAACTCACCGCGCGCGCGGTGACTTGTGTATTGTCCACAATAGAAAAGTATGCGCTTTCGTCTGCCCCCTTACGGTTCACCAAAAAAATGAATTCAGTTTCTGGAATTTCATGTAGATTTTTCTTTGTGGAAAATTCAGAACACACCGCGCGCCCGCGGGGGGTTCTGTATTGTCCACAATTAAAAAGTCGGCGCGTCCGTCGGCCTCCTTAAAGGTCCCCAGAAATTTTGAATTCAGTTTCTAGAATTACATGTCGACTGCTCTATTCTGGACAACACAGAACTCCTCGCGCGCGCGGCGGCCCTAGCCCATTCTGCGTGGGAATGCACAGTGATCAAGATGCAGGGCCGCCGCCGCGCGCGGCGGCCCTGGCCCACTCTGCATAGGGAATTGCACCACGCGCGAAGGGCAGGGCCGCCGCGCGCGCGGCGGCCCTGGCCCATTCTGTGTTGGAAAAGACACCACGCGCGAAGGGCAAGGCAGCCGCGCTGGCGGCGGCCCTGGCCTACTCTGCGCAGGAAAATGCACAATGCGCGAAGGGCAGGGCCGCCGCGCGCGTTGCTGCCCTGGCCAGTTCTGCCTGGAAAACACAGCATGAGCAATGAGAAAGGTAGCCGCGCGCGCGGCGGTACTGCCCCATTCTGCGCTGGAGAACGCAATGCGCGAGGGGCAGGACCGCCGCGCACGCGGCGGCCCTTGCCCATTCTCTGTCGGGAAACACACCATGGGCAAAGGCAGTGCCGCCGCGCGCGCGGCGGCCCTGGTCCATTCTGCATAGGAAACACACGATGTGCGAGGGGCAGCCTGGCCAACTCTGCGCTGGAAAACACACCATGCGCGAGGAGCAAGGCCGCCGCGCGCGCGGCAGCCCTGGCCCATTCTGTGGGGGAAACCAGACCATGCGCGAAGGAGTGGGGCCGCCGCGCGCGCGTCGGCCCTGCGTAACCCTGCGTGGGGAAATGCACACTGCGCGAAAGGCACGGCCGCCGCGCGCGCGGCGGCCCTGGTCCATTCTGTGTTGGAATACACACCATGCGCGAGGAGCAGGGCCGCCGCGCGCGCGGCGGCCCTGTCACACTCTGCGCTGGGAAACTCACAATGCGCGACGGGCAAGGCCGCCGCGCGCGCGGCGGCCCTGGCAACTTCTGCGTTGGAAAACACGCCATGCGCGAGGGACAAAGCTGCCGCGCGCGCGGCGGCCCTGGCCCACTCTGCGTGGGACCATGCGCGAGGGGCAGGGCCGCCGCGCGCACGGCAGCCTTTGCCCATGCGCGACGGGCAAGGCCGCCGCGCGCGCGGCGGCCCTGGTCAACTCTGCGAGAAAAAAAAACGCACCATGCGCGACGGGCAAGGCCGCCGCGCGCGCGGCGGCCCTTGCCCGTTCTGTGCGGAAAAAGCGCACCACGCACGAAGGGGCACTGCCGCCGCGCACGCCGCCGCGCACGCGGCGGCCCTGGCCGACTCTGCGCGGGAAAATGCACAATGCGCGAAGGGCAGGGCCGCCGCGCGCGTTGCTGCCCTGGCCAATTCTGTGTCGAAAAAACAATGCGCGAAGGGGTAGGGCAGCAGCGCGCGCGGCGGCTCTGCACCGTTCTTTGTGGGGAAGCACGCCCTGCGCGAATGGTAGGGCCGCCGCGCGCGCGTCGGCCCTGCCTGGCCCTGCGTGGGGAAGCGCACACTGCGCGAAAGGCAAGGCAGCCGCGCGCGCGGCGGCCCTGATCCATTCTGCGCGGGAAGGCACACCATGCGCGGGCCGCCGCGCGCGCGGCGGCCCTGTCACACTCTGCGTGGGAAAACACACCATGCGCGAGAGGCAGGGCCGCCGCGCGCGCGGCGGCCCTGGCCATGCGCAAGGAGCAAGGCCGCCGCGCGCGCGGCGGCCCTGGTCCACTCTGTGTGGGAAAACACAATGCGCGAAGGGGTACGGCCGCAGCGCGCGCGGCGGCTCTGTCCCATTCTTTGCGCGAAGGCGAGCCGCCGCGCGCGCTGCGGCCCTACCCCTTCGCGCATTGTGGTTTTCCCACACAGCGTGGGCCAGGGCCGCCGCGCGCGCGGCGGCCTTGCCCCTTGCGCATGACCAGGGCCGCCGCGCGCGCGGCGGCCCTGGCCAACTCTGCATAAGAAAACACACCACGCGCGAGGGGCGCGCGAGGGGCTAGGGCCGCCGCGCGCGGCGGACCTGGTCCATTCCCTATTGGAAAAAAAAAACACCATGCGCAAGGGGCAAGGCCGCCGCGCGCGCGGCGGCCCTTCCCAACCCTGCGTGGGAAAAACGTACCATGCGCGAGGGTGTAGGGCCGCAGCGCGCGCAGCGGCCCTGGCTCATTTCTTTGTGGGGAAGCACACCATGCGCGAGAGGCAGGGCCGCGCGCGCGCGGCGGCCCTGGCCAACTCTGCGCAGGAAAACGCACCATGCGCGAGGGTCAGGGCAGCCGCGCACGCGCTGCGGCCCTGCCCCCTTCTGTGTGGGAAACACACACACACACCACTCACGAAGGGCAGGGCCGCCGCGCGCGCGGCGGCCCTGGCCAATTTTTCGTTGGAAAACATGCCATGCGCGATGGGCAAACTCTGCGCGGGGCGGGGTGGCCATGGGTCTGGGTGGTCGGCGAGGGCGGGTGGGGCGGAGCGGGGTGGGGGGGGGTGAAGGGATGTGGGTGAACAGGTGATTGGGGGGAGAGGGGGGGGAGGGCACGCGCGAGGGCAGGGCGGCCGCGCGCGCTGCGGCCCTGGCACACTCTGCGCCAACAACAAAAAAAACGCGCGAAGAGGGCCGCCCGCGCGCGGCGGCCCTGTCACAGCCTGTGTGGGAGAGCACTCCATGCGCGGGGGGCAGGGCTGCCGCGCGCGCGGCGGCCCTTGCCAACACTACGTGGGAATGCGCACCATGCGCGAAGGTCAAGGCCGCCGCGCGCGCGGCGGCCCTGTCCCATTCTGCATTGGAAGGCGCGCCTTGCGCGAAGGTCAAGGCCGCCGCGCGCGCGGCGGTCCTGGCCCAGTCTGAGCTGGAAAACGCCATGCGCGCGAGGAGCAAGGCCGCCGCGCGCGCGGTGGCCCTGGCCTACTATGCGCGGGTAAGCACATCATGCGCGGGGGGCAGGGCCGCCGCGCGCGCGAGGAAGGCCCTGGCCCATTCTGCGCGGTTATGTTGTATGTTTTCCCTGATGGTGCGCCCGCGCCCGTTGGGTGTTCAGTAGTCCACGACGGATAAGTCGCAATGACGGCCTGGAAACTAGAGTGGCCCCTTAATGGTGACCGATTGGATTGTGACGTTCGCATTTGGTTATGATGTCTGCGTTCTCCGATGGCGCGCGCGCGTTGGCGCCTCTCTACTGCCATCATAAGAAACGTCGCCGTGTTGGCTTGGGAACGAAAATGAACCTTGAACGGTTGTGGATGTGATTATCAAGCGAACCTTGGTTCTGTGGTATGATTTCCATGGTGACGCGCGCGCATCCGTTTGACCTTCTCTATTACCAACCGTATAAAACTGCCAATGCTGGTTTGGAAACTAAAATGAACCCTTAGTTGTGGCCGATTGGATGAAACATTCGCATTGGTTCTGATGTATGCTTCTATGATGGAGCGTGCACGCGCGCCCGTAGTGAGTACTGTACTGTTCACAGTGGAAAAGTCGCCATGTTGGCGTGGAAACCAAAAATGCATTGGTTCTGCTGTGTGCTTTCTGTGATGGACAACGCAGAGCCTCGCAGTCGCGCGCGCGCGAGCCCATTGTGAGTTCTGTAGTGTCAACATTGCAAAAGTCGCCCTGCTGGCCTGGGAACGGGGGAGTGCCCTTAACTGTGGCCGATGTGATTTTGAAGTGGACATTGCTTCTCCCTGGTGGACAACGCAGTACTTCAAACGCGCGCACGCGTGGGCGCCCGTGGGTTCTGTCTTGTCAGCAAGAAAGAAAGCGCCATGTTGGCCTGGAGATTATAATGGGACCTTAACGGTGGCCGATTGGATTGTGAACCCAACATGGGTTCTGATGTCTGTTTCCTCTCATGGGCAACGCAAAACCTCCCACGCGCGCGCGTGCCCGTCGGGGGTTCGGTATTGCCCACAATAGAGAAGTCGCGATGTTGGTTTGGAAACTAACGTGAACCCTTAACGGTGACGAGTTATAGTCTGATCTTATCATGATGTCA